GTGTTCTGGGATTCCCATTCTTCTCAGAGTCAGCCACAGTTTGTTATGATCCACACAGTCAAATGCCTTTGCATAATCAATGAAACACAGATAGACAATCTTCTGGTATTTCCTGCTTTCAGCTAAGATCCATCTAACATCAGCTACAATATAATACTGACCAAATTATTCGAGAAGCTGGACTCTTATGAAGAAGAATGTGGCATCAAGATTGGAGGAAGACTCATCAATAACATGTGTTATGCAGATGACACCACCTTGCTTACTTGACATTCTAGTGGAGTGAACAATAGACATAATGTTAGGGAATTAAGCATGCTGTATGAGAGGGGAATGCGTACTGGTAAGCATATGGTACTTAAGCAGAAACATGAAGGAAATGAGAGTATTTTATATGGGGGGGAAGTCTTCCAGGTAGAAAGAATGTTGGTGTTGATATGTCCTGTTGAGTCAGAATCAACTCAAGCTTACTCTTCAGTTGGTTTTTAAAGGCTGTAAATAACAAGGGAGGAAGTTGTCCATTTTTCTTCTAAGGAGCAACTGGAGGTTTCAAACTGCCCCATTAGGCCACCAGTGCTCCTTAAGAAGAAAGACTAGTAAGTCCAAGAGCAAGCTTACTTTGCATAAGGAATATCATGTAAGAAGGTTACTGGAATGAGTGAGGACAGAAAAAAAGGTGAAGGAAGTATGGGCAGAGGGTTGTTAACTCATTCAGGGCTTTGTGGGTCTTGGTTAAAGAATTAGATTTTTAATCTGGGTGAAATGAGAAGCCACTGTAGGTTATCAGCAAGAGTAACATGATTTACATGAAAAAATGATGATAAAATTTTGACCTCTGATAGGATATAGGACATGAGGGGGTAAAGATGTAAGCCCTCCATAATATGATCAACTATTCTCAGTTTACCTGGGATGTCTCAGGCTTTATCATTAGAACTCCTCTGCCTAGGAACCCTTTCTGTCTCCAGCAAACTGGGATGGTTAGTCACTTGGAGACCAGAAATTTAAGTGAGAGATGGTAATGTCTAGACTAAAGTGGAATAGTGGGAAAGTGGTCACATTCTGAGTATATTTTGAAAGCATTATCTAAAGATTTTGCTAGTTGAGTGAATATGGATATGAAAAGATGAACAAAGCCAACGACAACTTTTCACAACCAGAAGAGCAGAAAGGAGGAAGGGTGCAAGTGAAATAGGTTTTGGAGGATGATGAGGAGTTTGGTTTTGGATGTGTTAGTTTGAGATACTTTATCAGTTTGGCTTTTCAGTTGCCTAATATGTATACGATAGCCTGACAATTAATAAAGCATATTGAAGAACTGATGCCATTACTTTATGATGGTGGCAAATAATATTAAATATACCATCGATTCTAATCAGGTTTGGATGCAGGAATGGCATCCACTTCCTAAACCATATGCCTCTGAAGCTTTATGAACATAGAGAAATGATGATAGTTATTGAACAGGGTTCAGGTCTTTTGTTCATAGGGTCGAGTAGCACTTGACTTGTGGCACTTACAACAACAACAAAGGAAGGTAAGCAAACAAAAGAGAAAACAGAGGAGCTGAGGAAGGAGGGGTTGACTATTTGGTGTTCTTGAACAAGTTTTCTCCTAACAACTTCGATATATACTTCTTGAGGGCAGAGAATGCCAACATTTTTACTCCTTGCTCTACTCCCTACTGGAGATAAGCGTCCACCTGTTAACTTTATGGTGGCTTGTTGATGTGTACCATCAAGTTGGAACCCACCCATAGATGACCCTTATTAATTTTATGGTGGCTTCTTGTAGTTGTATACAGTCAAGTCCAAGTTGGAACTGATCCATAGCTGACTCTGGTGGGTTTTCAGAGTCTGTTAATTACATGGGAGAAGGATGCCCATGGAACAGCTGGTGGCCTTGAACCATGTGCCTTTGGGATTGCAGCGCAGCTTCTTGCCATTAGGTCACCGGAGCTCCCTTAAGGAACTGCACTGCCCAACTAAAGGTACACGGTTGACAACCATCAACCACTTTGCAGGAGAAAGATGGGCAATGTCCCATGCAATTTATTGCCTTGGAATACTAGCAGGAGGGTCAGCTATGGGTGGGTTCCAACTCAGTAGTAAACAAAAACATACGGATAGAGCCCTGAGGAAGTGAGGGACCTTTCCTGATGGACTGCTTTGTGGATTGACTTTAAGAGCTGGAGGCAGACAGTTTAGTGGGTGAGTCAATCTCTGGTAGTAGTAGTAGATTAAAAAAAAAGAAAAAAGCAGCAGCAGCTGTAGAGATATACCATGCCCTTGAGACTCTACTGAGTCTTTTTACTGACCCACGACCACTCTATACAAGCACTGCCTCTAGAATGTTCAATGCTTAGAACCCACTGATCCTCCCTTTAGGGAATAATAGGACCTGGACATTCCGTGGGATCTCATTGGTTGGACAAAGGCAGGTGGGTGAACTCTCTACACACCGAGTTCAGCTGGGTATCAAAGTTCACCCTTATGGATTCCCCGAGGGAGAACCTAAGCCTCCCTGGCGGTAAATACACTTCAATCCCTGCCATTTGCCTTATGCCCTTGAGTTTGTGGGCAATTAGGGAAGACTCTTTGCATGGGTGGGGTGGTGGCTGCCTGTATGGATGGATAATAACACCTATGGCTTCCTCAATGAAAACAAAGGATTTCTTGAGGGCAGAGTCTTCTTTCTTTCCTCTTCCAAACTATCACAGCTGAGGGGTAAAGAGGTGGGGTGGCAGACTGGTGCCTTGGTTAACACTGCTAAACCTTTATCTTCCTGATGGGACCTGTCTTTTAGTGAGTCTTCTCATTCTAATAGATTGGATCGATCTAGGTTGGAAACCATAGTTTGTAGATTATATGGATCTAGGCTGGAAACCATAGTTTGCCTGTCTAAACCACTCCTGGCTTTGTGGTAAGTTGTGGTGCTAACTCAAAGGCACCAGCTGCTTTCAAGGGGAAGGCAGTCTCCTCCCGTTTAATTTACTTCCTCTGAAATTTGCTGGAGAGTCAGCTATAAATGTCCCCTGTAGACCTAACTTTCCTTATCTATAAAAAGATAAAGGTCTGGAAATCTAGCTTTGACTAGGATAGGGGATGGAAAGAATGGATAGAGTGGTTAAAAGGATGGCATGATTGATGAATGGGTTAAGTAAATGATAGGAATGTAAAGCAGCTCAGGCTCTAAATCAGAGCTATTAGCCTATCTTTTTCTTTCTTTCTTAGTGTGGGTCTCACTGTACTTTGGATTCTTGGCGCTGTGCTCTGTGATAACTGGCGGGTGCATTCTCTTCCTGCACTGGAAGAAGAACTTGAGACGAGAAGAGCATGCCCAGAAGTGGGTGAATGTGATGAAGACTGCTGCTTTCACCTACAGTCCATTGTTGTATTGGATTAACAAACGACGGCAGTACGGAATGAATGTAGCCATCAACGTGGGCCCTCCACCCACTATTACAAAGACCAAGACTGAGGCTCAGAATCCAGATCCTCTGTGGGATGTGGATGTCCCTGAAGGAAGCAACCATTCTGTCCAAGACACTAGCCCCAAAATGGAGGCCCCTGTGACCCTGCAACCTCCTCTGCAGCTGGTGCCACAAGAATCCCTGTCCATCCCAGTGTCGCAGCCTCAGGCCAGCTCCCCACTGTTGGTTCCCGTCTTTGACGAGGTGCCCTTAGCCCTGTCCCTTTGCAACCTACCTCCCATGCTGAATCATTCTGTCTCCTATCCTTTCTGTCCTGAGAGGAACATGGACTTCCATTCCCTCCCCAAACTGGCCAATGGTGACCACAGCACCAATACCAAGCCTTTTGCTTCAGAATTATAACCTCCTCCAATGAAGAGTGGAAACTTCAAGTATCAGGGGCCAAGTAGGAAATGGAGTTAACTTCCAGAAGGAGGTATCTGCATCAAGATCAGGGCTCATTGGGATGTCACAATGAAAGAGTTAAAAAGTCCAAGGCTCTCTTGTGTCTCATTTACTAATAAGAAAGTAAGGCCTTTCTCTCTTTGATAGGGGCACTTTGCAAATCAAATGGAAGGTCAGAGTTTTACCAGTACATGTGGGAATGAAGCCAGCTCTATGGATGAGCTCAACATGCATTTTAATCAAAGACCAATAATGTGAGCTGACCCCCCCACCCCAAACAACCCAAGTCTGCTCTCCCATGGACTTTAAGCATAGCTGTCATAAGAGTATGAACTGAGGTTGCACAACCTATGGAAATTCACAGTGGCCATGAACCACATTGCATTACTGAAAGAAAGGCAGTCCTTGTTCATATCTATGATAGGGTTGTGGTTTTTTTTTTGCGGTTGTACATTATTTCTAATACAAGAACACTGTAAAATGAATATAATTTCCCTTTTACTGTTAAACAGATGAATGCTAAAAGCCTTATCTGTTTTTGAACAAGTACTCAAATTTACATATGCCTAATCTGAAATAGAAAACATGGCAAATCCTGTTTGTAGTGTAAGGGGTAATTAACTTGTACCCATAGATTGGCTTGGGAAAAGGCTGGTCAGTGAATTCCTCAAAACAATACACTGAAATGTATCCTTAAATAGCATTTCTTTTTCTCAGAGGTATGTATGTAGTTAGGTGCTGTTGAGTCGAGTACAACTCATAGGGAACCATGTGCAACCAATCTGAACAGTCATCCCGTGCCATTTTACAATCTCTGACACATTCAAGCCCATTGTTGCAGTCACTATGTAAAACCACCTTGCTGAGCATCACCACCCCTCCACCTTTCCAAGCATGATGTTTCTCTCCAAGTAATAACCTCTCTTAGGAACATGTTCACAGTATGTGAAATGAAGCTCTGTCATCTTTGCCTCCAAGGAGCACTTTGGCTGTGCCTTCTTCAAGACAAGTTCCTTGTCTTAGAGGCAAAGTCCCATGGACTGTTCTTTTGGCAGTTCATGGGATCTTTAGCACTCTTCCCCAACACCATAGTTCAAAGGCATCAATTATCCTTAGTTATTGTCCAGCTCTCAGATGCATAGTGACTGAAAAACCCATGGCCTGAATCAGGAGTACTTAGTTCTCAAACTGACATCAAAGAAAGGTATGCAAAGTCTCCTAAAGTTAAGATCCATTATTACATTGGAGTAGTAATAACATCTTCTAAAAATGACCCTAAAAGAAAACATACCACAGGTTATTTGTTCCCACTTTAAAAATAAGCAAAGTCCAGCTCTGGTTTTAGATTATATTTTTCCTTTTCACTTTGGAAAGGAGCAAATGCTTCCCACTCAGCATACTTGTAAATGAGCTCATCCTTCCCCGTGGGAGGATGGCCACCTAGACATTTTTAGGGTAGGGAGAGATTTCAGAATGTAGCAAACTGCCCCAGTACAACCCTTATCTAGAAAGAAAGAAATGTGCTCTTTTATTGAATCTCAAAGAATATTATATATCCAAATAGGACTTCTGATTACTGATGTAAGAAAGGCCAGAGGCTCACTTTTCTCTCGTACACTTCATCTCCCATCATCCTGTATATAGATGCCTGATTCTGAGCCCTTGTGACTTTGCTTATTTAGGCCAAACCCGAAATTTTTAAGGCGGATTCTGACCTCTGGTGGTATAGTCTACAGGGAGTTGTATTGTTAATTCAAAGGTGGCAAATCTGGTGGTTCAAATCTACCAGCAACTCCATGAGAGAAAGACGGGCAATCTCCTCCTATGCAATTCATAGTCTCATAAAATCTGATGAAGAAGAGTCAGTTATGAGTCAGTTCCAACTCAAAGGCAAGGAGTGAGTGAAGGCAGATTTTTCTTGAACATTACTTTTTGCCCACCATCTGTTAATCTCAGCTTTTAAAAGGAGGGAGAAATCCATAAAAAGAGGGAATATTTTTGCATTTTAGTCATAGACACAGTAAGAGGAATAAAAAGGCAAATGCTTTATTTAGATAAATTAAAAAGGCTGTTACTGATATGAAATAAGTAAAGATCAAATCAAGCCAGGGAAAGCACTCCCTAAACAGAACTGAAATTGCTTATACATTACCAAAATAGCTCCACTAAAACAAAGTAGATTTACATTTCTTAATATGAGAAAACAACAAAATAGGCTGTTCGCATACAAACAATACACGCTCTATAAAATCTCAGAATACCCAAATGTGTTCTGGTTTGGATATGAGAGAAGGGGCCACTTCTAGCTGGTGTTGGTAAGCAAGCCAATGAGGTGTGCAGTAAACAAAATTTGTCACTAAAAAACAACTCAACAGCAAGCCATTATGAGTACGAGCCTGTTGTAGTCAAAATCTTCAACTGTGACCAGCAGGACCAGCCAGGGAGTTTCAAGGCATTATGTCCAGCCACTGAAACTCCAATGGAAGTGAAAATAACCAGCAGAAGGTATAGGATGTCCACCCTTCAGTTTCATTTTATCGTTCTCATTCTTCCTTGCCAGGTGCCTTGCTGACATCATCCCTAAGCCAGGTTCTCTCTTCTTTCAGTTCTCTTCCTACACGGCATCTCCTACAATGCACCTCTTTGCCCTTCTTTATTTAATGGGAAGGCTCTTTAAATTTATGCAATACCAGGTAATACTGGGTAAAATAAAAGAAGAGTGAAGACAAACTTTGGATAACTTATATAAAAAGCAGTGCAAGTGCTAGTGTTAAAAGATGTAAGAACAAGCCAAACTCACAACCACTACCCAAGTTTTCTCTAAGAGGTGAATCATATGGCAGATGAAGCTAAAACAACAAAAACCCCAAATGAGAAACTGAATAATAGGTTTGTAGGGCTCTTAAGGCAGTTAGCCTGTTCAAATGGAAAAAGGAGTCCAAGATGTTCCACTTTTTCATGGGAGATATATTATCTCAGGGAAGAAGAAGAGGGTCTTCACACCTACATATTAATCAGACTTCGTAGGCGAGAAGATGGTTAATACACACTGGCTTAGGGATAATGGTAGCTAAGTAAGCGCAAGGTGGGAAGAACCTAAGATAAACTCAGAATCTTTTAAATAAGATATCTCCACTTGCAGCTATCTGATGTAAGAGAAAAATACATACAACAAAGAGTTAAGGTGTCCTCAAAAAATATCTATGAATAAGAATTTGAAACTAAAAAGGACAAGCTACATTACCCTCAAGTATATTTCATATAAATCAGTTCTAAAAAAAAATACTTTCCAGATACAGGCCTACTATTTATGGTACAGTATATACAAATATAGTAGTATAATTCAATTTATTGCTAGAATTTTATTTGGTTGTTATAAAATCTGTAAGGGTGCATATATTAAAAAGGGGGGGAAAGGGGAGAAGAGGCATGGAAGGCAGCCAGAAAGAGTAAGAGTTGTTTCCAAGTTACCTAAAGTGCCAAGCTCATTTTATATTACATTTTAACCTGTGCAAAAAAGTGAACTAGCTCAGATGGGAAAGGGAAATGTTTTTATAAAATACTGATAAATATAAGCTATAGTGAAGTAAGCAGACATGTCATGGGGAAAGATTTCATGTTGTGTTACTTTTAATATTTCTAGGGAAAAAATATGATTAACCAATATCAAGCTGATTATAATGTAAAGAAAATAAAACAAAAACTATAGTTCTTAAATTTTTAAGGGTGTATCCAAGGTTGACAGGGCACTCTGGACAAAAAGTTAAAATGAAAATAAGCTCTATTAAAGCAGTGTGTGCTATAAAACCTTTTCTGGTTTCTCCCTGACTAAGTTTTGCAAGGTTTTACTCCTTCTGTTTTGCTCTATAATAATCAGCTGTTATATCAGATACATTCTTGTCTGCCCTTAAGACAATGCTGCCATGTAGGAATAACACACAGATTTAGACTTGGTATAGAAGGCGTGCAGGCATTACTTCTTATAGTCAATGTACCTTCAGTGTTAGCTTCCTAGAAGTATTTGGAAGGAGGAAAAGTATTTTACCTACTTGTATTAAGTCTGAAGAAACCTACTATCATCACACAAAGGCCCCTATTCCAGGCTGCCTGCTTTGGGACACAAAGTCCTAAGCTACTCCAGATCTGAAAATAGAATATGATTCATGTGTGGTTAGCTTTGCTTCATTTTACAACCTTTTTGGCCTTAGCTCACAAAGAATTATACTGGATTCTTGGTTAACTCTCAGGTAAAATCTCAAGGTATAGGATTTCTTAGGTTAAAATTAAAGGCAGAGCTCTTCTCTGAAGTTCCTTCTCACCAGGCTGAGAAAGTAACTGAGGGTCTTTTGCCTTGACATTCAGAATGGAAATGGCAGCAGAGATGGGAGCCAGCTACAGCTTTAAGGCTGAGTGGGTAGATGGAGGCAGATAATCTAGATCACTTAGCAGCTCCCCACTGATTAACTTTAGGTTCACAAACACTAAACTGGACTGAAAATATAACAAATTCTCAATAAGGTATCTCTGATTTATAGACTGAGATTAGCTGAGGGGATGGAAACAAAGAACCAGTCAAAGGATTCTCTAATGCTGACACTCAGTGGACACCAATGTTGACACTAAGGTGGACCACAGTGTCCACTTCTTCTATCTATTTCCCCAGTCACCAGGTCAAACCTCTCATGGCAGCATCTGGGTCTACAAGAGATGAGATAAGGGGATGTGGATTTTGTTTCACTGCTACTTAGAACATATTACCAAATTTTAATAACAAGTCATTATTATACAGATCCTGCTTAAAACTGTTCTTACTTCCCACAAAATATGTACAATTTCCCCCCCATTTTAATTATTAACAAACAGAAAAAGCCCATCTTTTTAATAAAAGACATTTTCTGAGTCTTTATAAAGTGCAGCTAATTTAAGGCAAATTTCTATGAAATATAAAAGGTGGCTTATTCTCTCTAATGATATATTTTCCAGTTTTAAAAGTTCTCCTTCCCACAAAAAAAGGAAAGACAAGGGGGTGGGGAAGGAGGACTCTTCTTTCTTCTGGCAACTTAAAAAGGTAAGATCTTACTGGTTTTAGGAAATTACAGGTTTCTGAACATCATATTATACGTAAAATTATCTTTTTTCTTAAAAAAATAATTTTTATATAGCTTCTTCAAACAAATTAAAAGGTGGCAATGTGTTTGCTACAGTAGTTTGAAGGACTAATGGGTTGTAAAAGGGGTATTTTTGTTAAGTAAGTAGATGTTAGGTAGTCCAGCATTTGTACCCAGTTCCAAAATATGCCTGATAAGGCTAGAAACCTAAAGCTACTCTTAGCTCAAGGAATGAGTATTTTCCATCTTCATCAGAATCAAACACTCTCAAGTTCTTTGGTGCTGGCACAGAAGAACCTAGGGAGTTCCAAATTTCTTGGTAGGTCAGCTTCCCATCGATGTCTTGGCCAGCCTTTTGGAATAAATCTTGAAGATCTGTTAATAAAAGAAATTAAAAAAAGATATTTATTTATATCTATATCTACATGAACAGATAAATACAGTGAAGAGTAAGTAGCCTTAGCAGAATTTAAAGCACTGAAAATTTGTCACCTTTGTTTCCAAAGGTCAAGTTTAAAATCTCACTACATCAGGAAAACGAATTAATTCTTGATTCTTAAAGAATGAGAGGACCAAATGGTACCACCATTCCAAAATAGGAGTAACAGAAAATCTGTAAAACAAAGTAAAGGAATGACTTCCTATAAGTACAGAAACTTAGATTTTCTAGATTTTTCTTCCCCTTCTTATGTTGAAAAGAAAAGAAATGCAGAGGCTTGAAGAGCTACTTAGGAGTCCCAGGGTGATGTAAATGATCTACTAACTAAAAGGTCAGTAGTTCAAAGCCACCCAAAGGGTTCTTAAAGTCCATGATATGCTTCTAAAAGGTCAGACTTGTAAACACCAAGAACACACAGCTTTGTTCTGCAAACATGGGTCACTGTAAGCAGGAAATGATACAAAAGCAACTAGCTGGAAAGTTACTTGACAAGAACTGAGCCTATACAATGAACTATGACACATCACAAGATTTTTTTGGAGGAGTACGTTAAAGTCCTTAAAAAAAAAATTCCAAACACTGATAGTTTTCTCAGCTCAGTCTGAGAAGGAAAACAAAATAAAACTTGTCTGAGGCCAAATAGTCCTTAAGTGGTTAAATGTGGACTGAAGTACTGGTTTTCTTATTACTAAATTTGATGTTCTTTTTATTCCATGATACTGTTTCCTTGGATCCAGAAATCAAGCAGTTTAAGAACCAGGACTTAAGAACACAATGAGATACTATTTTATATCCACTAGGATAAAGACAATTAAAAGAAAAAAGGAAACTAACGAGCATTAGGATTAGGAGGAACTGAAACCTTATAACATTACTGGTGAGAATGCAAAACAGTGAAGTTATTCAGAAAAACATTTTTGTAATTCCTCAAAAAGTTAAGCATAAAGTTACCATGTTGTTGTATACCATAGAGTCGGAACCGACCCATACCTACCCTCCAGTGGGTTTTCAGAGGCAGTTAACTGCACAGAAGGAAACTGCCCATCTTTCTCCTGTGGAGCAGCTGGTGGCCAAGAACCATGTGCCTTTAGGATTCCAGCACAGCTCTTTGCCACTACGCTACCAGAGCTAATAATCTCACTGCTAAGTGTATTTCCAAGATAAGTGAAAATGTATATCCACACAAAAACTTGCACAAGAAAGTTCATAGAAGCATTATTCCAAAAAGCTAAAAAGTGGAAACAACCCAAATGTCCATTAATATACACGAATACACAAACAGTGGATATCTAAACAACAAAATATTATTCAGTCATAAAGAGGAATGAAGTTTTGATATATGCCACAATGTGGATCTTGAAAACATGAAGCTAAATAAATTAAGCCAGATACAGATGGCCAAATATTATATAATCCCACCCATGATACGTAAATCCATAGGGAGTATAGAAGAAAATTAGTAGTTGTCAGGGGCTGATGCGAAGGGTAAAACTGCTTAATGACATAACTGTGTATCTAATTATATATTTCTCTAAATTTATCTTAACAGATATTTGGGAGAAATTAAAAAATGTTAAGGAATTATATGGTGGTGATGGATACATAATTTTGTGGACATATTAAAACCACTGAATTCTAAACCTTAAAAGGGTGAATGCTGTCATATGTAAATTATACCTAAATTCTTAAAGAAGAAAAAAAACAAACCAGAAAATTATCTTTTCTTTCTTGTTTGATAATGAACATTGCTTTATTTTTTTATGTTGAGATTCAATTTTTTAAAATTAATTTTAATGAAAGTTTAGAGAGTTAGGGTTTCCAGTCATTCATTGTTGCACTTTTCTCCCTGCCCAACCCCTCCCCCAATAAAATTATCTTTTCAAAGAACTTTTTTTAGTAGTTAAGAGGGATTGCATTACCATGAACTGATCTGTATCTTCTTTTTTTTTTTTTTGGGTAGTTGCAGATGTGATTTAATGCTCTGTGCAGAAATACATCACAACCACTTGAGGAGCAAATATTTCTAAGTCACTGTTTATGCCAAAAGGACTGAACAATTCCCATCAACAGTCCCTTCTGCTATTTTCTCAAGGGCTGTATCAAACACTTATTGTTGTTGTGTGCTGTCGAGTTGGAACTGACCAAATAACTAACCCTCCAGCAGGTTTTTAGAGGCCGTAAGTTGCCCAGAAGAATAATTCCATTCTTCTCCTGTAGAGCAACTGGTGGATTTGAACTACATGCCTTTAGGATTGTAGCACAGCTTCTTTCACTAGGCTACCAGAGTGTATGAAATATTTAGGGAGGCTGATTATGTAATATTTTTAAAGGATTTCATGTCTCTACAGAATCACCTAGAAGAAGATTTAATCTATAATACCAGAAAGGCAAAGTGGTTTGTTACTGTTTTCTTCATTTACTCAATTCTACACCTAGATTCAGTCATCTTCCTCCTGTTGTTTTGAATATTCAGGAAGAATGGAACTGGTCATAAGCTCAGAAAAACAGGTATAGTACAAATTCCAGTCCATCAAGGGGTTCTTATAGATAAGCTTCTCTATATGGTCCTGGTTTTATTCCTAAACTAGTTCTAGCAATCTAGCTAATAAAACCTCACAAGTTCTTTACCAAAAAAGACGGTAGATACTTGTTCCCAATGTGTGCTACCAAGTGGCTAGCTGGGAAATCCTTTTTAAAAATTTGGCAATTTGTGTGTGTTTTTTTATTGGTGGGGCTGTGAGCCTGTGCATTTGATTGCAACATATAAATAAAAATCTGATTAATGCCTCAAAATCAAAGCAAAACAAAAAAAATTGTTAAGATTCTGACACCGACTTGACAGAACAGAACTGCTTACAGGATTTGCAAGGTTGTAAATCTTTTCTGTAACAGCTGGTGGGTTTGAACCACTGAACGTTTAGCAACTGACTGATTGACCTATGCCTGCAAGGTTCTAGGATTACTATTTGAGGTAATTAAAAAAAAAATGTAGTGTTAAAAAAACCCCAATGGTGTAAGGTCTGTGTTAGGCACTACAGTGCAAATGTTTATTTTTAATCTGCTCTAACAGCCTTTCCCTTCATCCAGCCATCAGTTGTTGATATAAAAAACAGAAAAAGGATTTCATGTCTCTACAGACAGCTGGTCTTTCAACTGCTCCTGTACTACCCAGGCTCGGTCCTCGTTTCTTTTTCCAACTGGTGGATTCATGGTGATGACTGGAGGCAATGGTAGTGGGAATTGTGGTGAAATGGCCACAGGCCTGACATTAGATCCATCTAGTACTGCTCATCTTTACCCAGGCCTGGGTCCTTTGGTGTTCTCAGGGCCTATTAGTCACCGCATGCCCTTCCCAGGACCCCTGCTGGATTCACCCACAAGTTCTTTCCCAACAAGTCCCATACCTTCCACCACCACTGCCACTGTGGTGGCTCCACTGAGCTCATGAGAGCGAAAGTGGTGTCCTAACTGCCCTGGCCTACTACAATCTATACAATCCAACCCTCTGGGCCCCAGATCTGGACCTTCATAACTTTTGTACAATACTATGACCAAAGTCTTCAAACTGGAGGTATAAATCTAAATGTGACAAATAAAGAGCAGTGTTGGGTAGTGTGTAAAAAAAAAATTGGGAGGAGACAATACTCAATAGTCACCCTCCTCTCCAGGAAACATAAAGGGAAAAAATCAAGTTAGGGGAAAAAAAAATAGTAATAGCATTTAATTGGCTATAAAAATGTAAGTCTTTAAACAATAACTTAGCATAGAGATAACATTTATTCACCTAACAAATATTCCTGTCTATGATTTTGCTGATTTCACATGCAAGCAAGATTTTACTGAAGAGGATCCAAAAACGACTGGAACAGCACATCAACAGAGAACTACCATAAGTCCAGGCTGGGTTTAGAAGGGGTCGTGGTACTAGAGATATTATAGCTGGTGTTAGATGGATCTTGGCTGAAAGCAGGGAATACCAGAGGAATGTCTATCTGTGTTTCACTGACTATGCAAAGGCATTTGACTGTGTAGATCATAACAAACTATGGCTGACTCTGAGAAGAATGGGAATCCCAGAATCACTTGATCGTTCTAATGCGAAACTTATACTTGGACCAGGAGGCAGTCGTCAGAACAGAGCAAGGGAACACTGCATGGTTCAAAATTGGGAAGGGCGTACGCCAGGGATGCATCCTATCTCCATAACTTTTCAACCTATATGCCGAACAGATTATCCGGGAGGCTGGGCTCTATGAGGAGAATGTGGGGTCAAGATTGGTGGATGATTTATCAACAATCTGCGTTATGCGGATGACACAACCCTGCTTGCTGAAACTGAAGAGGACCTGAAGCACCTGCTGCAGAGTGTCAAGGACTGCAGCCTCCAATATGGATTGAGGCTCAATGTCAAGAAGACAAAGATTCTCACCACTGGACCAATTGGCAGCATCAGGATGGATGGTGAAGAGATTGAGATTGTACACAGCTTTAGTTTGCTTGGCTACATAGTCAACAGTCTTGGCACCAGCAGCCAGGAAATTAAAAGGCGCATTGCCATGGGAAAGTCTGCTGTTAGGGACCTCTCCAAAGTGCTGAAGAGCAATGGTGTCTCTTTGGAGACTAAGGTGCGTCTGATACAGGCCATGGTCTTCGCAATCACCTGTTACGCATCAGAGAGTTGGACAGTGACCAAGGAGGATAGAAGGAGAATTGATGCCTTTGAGCTGTGGTGCTGGAGAAGAGTATTGAGAATACCATGGACTGCTAGGAAAACAAACAGATTCGTCCTGGAAAGGGTTAAACCGGGTGGCTCCTTGGAGGCAAGGATTCTGAGGCTCCGTCTAACATACTTTGGACATGTTGTGAGGAGAGACCGGTCCTTAGAGAGGGACATCATGCTTGGGAGGGTGGAGGGACAGTGCAGGAGAGGAAGGCCCTCTATGAGGTGGACTGATTCAGTGACTGGGATAATTGGGATGGGCGTGTCAGAGACAGTGCGATTGGCACAGGACAGAGCGGAGTTTAGGGCTGTTGTACATAGGGTCGCTATGAGTCGCAGGCGACTCGACGGCACATAACAACAACAACAACAACAACAACATGATTTTTCTGCTGTTGTGTACTATCCCATAGATGATCCCCTGGCAGGTTTTCAGAGGCAGTTTATCGTGTGGGAGGAGATTGCCCATCCTTCTCCCATGGCGCAGCAGCTGGTGGCCTCAAATTGTGTTACTTCAGGATTGCAGCACAGCTTCTTGCCACTAGGCCACCAGAACTCCCTAGGCACTATGCTAGGGACTGGAAATATCAAAATGAACAAGACATTACCTACCCATTAAAAAGTTAATTTTTTTAATCTCCCAGGATACTGTGCACACATAGTACTAAAGACGGGTAAACACAAAATATTTTAAGAGCAATCAAGAACCTTATCTATTCCTGGAAGGTAAAGATATGCAGCCTATAGAAATGGTATCTAAGCTGAGGTAAAGACTCAGGGAAGGATAGGTAGATAGAAATGGATAATTTTTAGGTAGACAGCAAATGCAAAATCAGGGGAATCTAAACAACGTAAGTAGAAAAAGGGCATTGCTGAAAACATGGTGAACCCGTTATCTATTAACTATAAATATCACAGTAATAGTCATCATACTAATTTTCAGCAAAAGGGTCCTTATTTTTTTAACAGTCCTTCATTTTTTGGGTCCTGACCAGGGCCAGTGCTATTTTGCTTATCTCATGTTTGCTAATATGCTTTCTCTACTAGTGTATACCTTTGAGGAAAGTGGTACCATAGTTTATGCTCCTTTTAATGCTTAGGTCTAATTATGAACTCAGTGAATGAATTAAGACTCTAAAAGAAAAACATTAACAGAGAGGCATTATACACACTGGTTAAGAGTACAAGCTTTGGTGTCAACTTGCCTCAGTTTGAATTCTTCCTTGACCAATAATTTGCTGTTTGATTTTAACCAACCAGTAAATGTGATTGGTATTTACATTTACATGATTGTTGTAAGGATTCTATGATTTAATGTACATGAAGAGTTAAATGTAAAAAACCAAACAAACCAAAAACCCCAACCAACCATCTGCAAAAAAAAAAAAAGAGAATTAAAATGTTAGGTATAATTTTTTTTTTACAAGCTAAACACATTAAAAAGTTATTATTTTGAAAATTTAACCTACTACCTTGCAAGATGAAAATGTACCTTTAATGCTTGAAATTCCTGGTAGGGAGATAGATCTTAGCTGGGTAGTTTTCTCAGTTTGGTCTCCAAGAAAATGTGAAAATTTTGGCAATGTTGATGGCTCAGAGGTAAAACTCTGTATTTGCTCTATAACAAAAACACAGTTTAGTATTATAGAATCTGATACCAAATTACACTAGTATTGGTACTTTACTACATCATTACAAGAAAGAGTTGGGAATTAATTAACAGTTGTGAAATTAAAAGCTTGGATTGAGATATGTTTTGTGGAAAGTGAAGATCTATTAACGCTAGGTTACAATAGGTTTGAAGCAGCAATCCCACTGGAAAACCTTATTGAATATTTAAAGGTTTAAGATGCAAGTAAGCACAAAAGACTGGTTTGTTATAAATGATTTTTGTAACATCCTAAGAGCCTTGCTGTAAGCCAGGCTGAGGTATGTGCCAACAGCTAAGCTGATGCTAAAACAATGCTTCCATAAGATTATGTAGCATTATGTTAGGGTAAGGTCTCCCACCCAAAAAGAGAATTCAAAGGAAATGGTACTTCTTTCCTCAAAATGAATAAATCTGGATGTGGCAGTACTGGGAGAATATCAGTCTGCATAGTCCATCATCTTGTTTATGTCCTCACAGAGCCTAATCAGTGGAAGTCGATATATCTGCTTTTACTGATTAGGTATGTCCTTACCTAAAGTTAAGGATCCCTTCATTTCCAAACCCAAAGATCCCTTCATTATTATTAATGATTTTCAGAAAGACCAACATTTATTTTTAAGTAATTTTTATGCACTTACAGAAATGAAAAATTCTCATAAACAACATTGAGGGCTGGGTTTGACATACACGCTATGACAGTAACATTTTTGCCTATAATTGGATGCAGACAGCATGGAGAAGTCTATTTCCAGCTAAACATTACCCATTTTTCCCTTAATAGACTGGAGTACAAATCATGTACAAAATGGGCTTTTTCTAAATGAAAGTAAAGTGTATCAGCTTCATCTCGGTGCACTCCGGCAACATTCACATGACTCGATCAGTGCTGCTGGAACACCTTGCCCCACTCCCTGTGTGGGAGGCAAGCTGCCCAAGCCTGCGTGAAATATTCAGAAGGCAGCTCTGCTCTCACCTTTATCAGGAGTCTCTGGAGGCCTGTTGCTGTCATGTTTGTTTGTGAGAGCACTGATCAGCTGCAGTTTTTCTCTTAGCTTGGACACCTGAGAATCTGAACTATCTTCTTTCTGCCCAAAAACAAAGATCACAGGAGATTTAAGGTTGGAGTAAAAACTTATCTGATTCTTCACTATCTTCCCAGAGCCCATTTAGCATGTGGTGTTTGACCTCCAGTTGGTTTCCTATAAAGGCAATGATGGTGCGAATAGACAAACAGCAGAGATACCTTTGGTACTCAGTGTTGATGAACCCCTACTTGGATTTGAGGATAGACTATTAAGGGAACATTATGCCAGATGATCTGATTCAATGCGAACGTTCAGCTGATGAAGGAAGGTGTGCATGCGTCAGCAGTAAAGAAAATGTACCCTTGCTCAGGTGTCTATGTGACACTCATTTCCTAAATGAGCAGAATATTGTTTTCTAGGAGCTATTTCATACTAACTAAATAACTTTTCTCAGTATCTTATTTCACCTCGTGACTAGACCATTTTAATATGATAAAACATAAGAAGAAAAAAATCCAACAGAAAAAACCCCAACCTCACAAGAATTACCCCAACCATTCCTCATCCTATTCAAAATGGTGACAATTTAACCAGTACTGGGGAATGATACACTCACACATACATGCACGTGTGCAGGTGTATGTGCATTCGGATTAGGCACAACTCCCTACAGACTACTTCATTAGAATTCCATAAATAAATATTTGCTGAGCAAACAATCTGAGAAGCTGGACTATATGAAGATGGTGGCATCAGGGTTGGAGGAAAACTCATGAACAACTTGCAGTATGCAGATGACAATTTCCCTTGCAGAACTGACGAGGATTTGAAGCATTTACTAAAGACAAAAGACTTCAATATGGATTATATCTCAACATGAAGAAAGCAAAATCCTCACTAATGAGATGATGGCAACATCATGATACATGGAGAAAGACTGAAGTTGCCAACTATTTTTTTTCCCCTCACAATCAACACCGATGGTAGTAGCACTCAAGAAACCAAAAGACATACTACATTTAGGAAATATGCTGTTAAGGACCTCTCCAAGTGCTAGAGCAAGAATGTCAGTTTAAAGACTAAGGTGTGCCTGATCCAAGTAATGGTATTTTCAATTTCTTCTTATGTATCTGAAAGCTGAACAATGAAGAACAACAAAGAATTGATGCCTTTGAATTGTGGTGCTTGGAAAGAGTAATGAATGTATCATGGACTGCCAAAAGATCAAACCAATCTTTTCGGAGAAAGTACAAACAGGCACTCTTTAGAGGCAAGGATGGAAAAAAGTAATTTCATACACTTTAGCATGCAGTCAGGAAGCACCAGTCTTAGAAAAGACATTATGCTGGGAAAGGTTGGAATCAACTCATAGCTGGTCCTCCAGCAGGTTTTCAGAGATTATATATCACACAGGAGGACACTGTCCATACTTTTCTCCCTTAGAGCTGATAGTGAATTTTAACTGCTTCTCCTTAGATTGGCAGCACAACTCCTTACCCACTAGGTCACCAGAGCTCCCAATGTGTTCTTGTTTTTGATATGTTAGTGAGTAAAATCCAATTCATAGCTGACCCTCCTGTGGGTTTGCAGAAGCTACAAAGTGCAAAGGAGGAGACTGCCTATCTTTTTCCCTCTGAGCAGCGAGTGGATTCAATACTGCCTTTGAACTAGCAGCACAACTGCTTACTCACTAGGCCACCGGTGTTACTCACATAAGCACACATGTGTATTTCTGTATATATGTATTTTAGGTAGTAGACTGCTTAGTTTACTTATTGTCAAGTTGACAACAACTCAGTGCAAACAGGCAGAAACCTTGCCGTATCCTGAACTATCTTTACAATCTCCATCATACTTAAGCCCATTGTTGTAGTCACTTGTCTGTCCATCTTGCTGAGTATTGTGCTCTCTTTCACCAATCCTCTACTTTCCCCCAGAAAGATGTCTTTTCCAAGACTAGTACCTCCTAATGAAATGCCCAAAGTAGGTGAGATGAAGTTTCAGCATTCTTGCCTCTAAGGAACACCCTGGTTATATTTCCTGCAGGGTAGATGTGCTTGTTCTTTGGCAGTGCCTGGCATATTCAATACTCTCTGCTAACACCACCGTTCAAAGGCATTAATTCTTTGGTTCCCTATCCTTTTATTTCATAGCCATCTGAAGTAACTAAAAATATCATGGCTTTGGTCTCAAACACCTTGGTTTTTAAACTGACATCCTTGCTCTTCAGGACTTTGAAGAGGTCCTCGACAGCAGATTTTACCAATGCAACATATCTTTTGATTTCTTGACTGCTTTTACTATAGGTGTTGATTGTAGATCCAGGTAATGAAGCCACTGACAACTTCAATCTTTTCTTCATCTATCATGATGTTGCCCATTAGCCTGTTAGTGAGGATTTTGTTTTCTTGAAGTTGAGATGTAACCATATTGAAAGAAGATCATATTGATCTTCACTTTCAGGAAGCCAGTTAGTGCCATCTGCATATGGTATGGTGTTGATGAGAGTTCTTCCAATCCTGATGCCATATTCTTCATATAGTCCAGCTTCTCAAATTATTTGCTCAACATAAGAGAGAGGATACAAGTCCAAGTCTGACATACACCTTTCCTGATTCAAAACCATGCAGCATTCCCTTGTTCTGTTTGATTTTTTTTTTATTTCCCTCTTCCCTACTTGTTCTAATGACTGCTTCTTGGCCTATGTTTAAGTTTTACCTGAGTATTACCGTTCGGAAATTCCTATTCTTCTCAATATTAGCTGTAACTTATTATGACCCGCAGAATGGAATGCCTCTGCACAAGCAATAAAACACAAGCAAACACCTTTCCAAAATCTCTGTAGATGCTCATTGAAATTAATCATAATAATAAAAAAAAATCCACTGACATTAGCAATGATATCCCTCATTGTTTGGTCTCTTCTAAATATAGCTTCAATTTCTGGCAGTTTTCTAAATAATCTACAGCAAGATCTACTGCATGTGATATTATTAATATCAGATATTATTGGTAATTATTTAAAAAACTTTTTGCACTCTATCAGATCAACTATTTTTAGAATGAGACCAAATAAGGATCTCTTCCAGTCAACTGACTAGGTAAACTGATCTTTCCAATTTCTTGGCAGAGATTAGCAGGGCATGCCTGTGATTGCATCTATTAGCTGAAACATCGCAGTTGGTATTTTCATCAATTTCAGAGGCCTTTTTGCTTGGGCCTTCAGTGCAATTTAGACTTCCTGCAGTATATGCTACTTCATGAAATGGCTTGGTGACTCTCCTTTGATACTTCTTCTGTCATTCAATATTGTGCCCATACTGGAAGGCAGTTTTCATGTTTCCTCAAAAAGTTGAACATAGAAATTCTATATAACCCAGCTATTCCACTGCTAGGAATATACTCTTAGGAAATTAGAGCAGAGGCACACATATCTGTACACTAATGTTCATGGCAGTGTTATTCACAATCACAAGAACATGGAAACAACCCAAATGTCCAACCACAATGAATGGATTGAAAAACTATAGTATATTCACTTGATGAATACTACACAGCACTCAGGAGCAATGATTTAAAAAATCACTACATAACTTGGGAGAGACTGGAGAGCATTATGGTGAGTGAACTAACTCAGTCTCATAAGGACAAATACCACGTAATACCCCACTATGGTAAAAGTAGAAGGATAACACTAATAGGAGTAAAATGTGTATGGTAATCCAAGTAGGGGAGGGATGGGAGCAGAGGGATGAGGATGGGCAGGGGGAAAGCATAGTGTTGCACAATTTGGTGGATAGGAAATGGGAAAGATCTGAAAATATGATGTAATGGTGGGCATAATTCAATGGGGATTAAGTTTATAGAACACAATATATGGGAATGATTGTATAAAACAAAATGTGACTGAAGTTTGAAACACAATGTATACAAATATTGTACACACATCAACATGAAATAAAAATTTGGAAAAAAAAAATTGTGTCCACAGAATCCTCCAGTTTTATAACTCAGGGCTTGAATTTGTTCTTCAGTTCTTTTGCTCGAGAAATGCCAAGCATGTTTTCCTCTTTTTGGTTTTCTAACTCTAGGTTTTGCATATTTCATTATAACTTAGCTTTGTCTTTTCAAGTTGCCTTTTGAAATCATCTGTTCAGCTCTATTAAAGCATTTCATAAGTTAGTTTTGACTTTTCTCAGTTGAAGAGCACGTTTCTGAGTCTTTCATGATATCCATTTTCTTTCTTTCCTTCCTGTCTTTTTAATGACCTTTTTCTTTTTTATTGATTTGGTCCTTGATACTATGCCATACTTCATATGGTCTTCTGTCATTAGTGCTCAATGAATTAAATTTATCCTTAAGGTGGTTTTTAAACTCATGTGAGAAAAGTTCAAGGTTATTCTTTGGCTCTTGTTTGCTTGTTCTAGTTGTCTTTTGTTTCAGTTTGGACTTTCAAATGAGTAGCTGATGGTCTATTCCACCGCATGCCTTTCCCCTTGTTTGGACAGTGAGAAGGGACCTTACTCACCATCCCTTTACAAATATGTAGTCAATGTCATTCAAGTGTAGTCTATAAGTTTAGGTCCATATGCAAAGCCATTGTTTATGTTTTTTGAAAAAGGTATTTGCAAAGGATTATCATTTATTGCACAACACTATTTAATATGATCTCTGGCCTTATCTGCTAGCAAGGCTGTATTTTCTGTAGTCCTTCTTTTCAATTTTTGCATTTCAATCAACAATTATTATTAATGTATCCTGATTGCATTTTTGATCCGTTTTCACTCTCCAAACGTTGGTAGACATCCTCAATTTCTTCATCTTTGGCTCTACTGAGCAGTGCATATATTTAATTTACTCATGGAGTTAAAATATAGGCATTTGTAACTGAAACTAGTTAGCATGTGTGGATGCTAGGAAAGATGTAAGTACTGAAGTTAATATCGTAAACAAAATGTGTATTAGTGAATGAAAAACCAATTTGCTTTGTCAACTTTCAGTCAAATCACAACAGAAATATTTAATAAAAACAAAGTAATTAGGCAAAGATGTTGTTGTTGTTACGTGCCAACAAGCTGACTATGACTCACAGCCACCCTAAGAACAGTAGTAGTTCTGAACCTTTTTCTAACCTGAGCCAATCTCAGTCTCTGACATATCGACCCCCATTGCCATAAGTCACTGTGTCAATCCATCTCGTTTAGGGTCTTCCTCTCCTGTGCTGAGCCTCTACTCTTCCAAGTATGATGTCCTTCTCCACGGACTAGTTCCTCCTGGCAATATGCCCAAAGCATGTGAGATAGGGGTTTCAAAATCCTTGCCTCCTGGAGCAACCTGGTTTCACCTTGTCCAGGACAAACCAATTTTTTCTCTAGAAGTTCATAATATGTTCAATACTCTTATAAGGAATCCTGATGGTTCAGTAGCTATCAAACAGGTTGGTAGTTCAAAATCCACTAGTAGCTCTGTGGGATATAAATGTGGCATTCTACTTCCGTAAAGATTACAGCTTAAGAAAACCTTTGAGGCAGTTCTACTTTATCCAATAGAGTTGCTCTGAGTAGCAATTTACTAGAAGGCAAAAAGGGCTTGTGTTTTGTTTGTTTTTTTTTTTTTTGTGGGTTTTTTTTTTGTTACCCCTCCTGTTATTTACCTTTATATTTTAAGTTATCATCGAGTCTGTTTTGTTGATTACCTGATTCAAAGACTTTCTTTTCAGAGTGGCAGTTTTATTACCTATCTTGGAAGGAGGGCCTGGTCCTTGGAGAGGAACATCATGCTCAGAAGAGTGGAGGGACAGAAGAAGGGAGGGAGACCATCGATGAGACAGACTGATACACTGACTAGGGTAGGTGTGTCATACACAGTAGAGTTGGCACAGGATAGAGCAGATTTCAGGGCTACTGTACATAGGTTGCTATGAGTTGCAAGTGACTCGATGACACATAATGACAACAACAAGTAAAGCAAGAACAACAAGAGAGGATTAAAGGTAAATTTTAAAACATTAACATTCATTACTTTTTAAACAAACTGATCAAATGTTAATTAAAAAGAAATACCAGAGGAGTGGTAGAATAAGAGAGAGGGAGAAAGAAAAGAGATAAGAAAGCTGAAATGAATGTTTCTACTTGTTTTAGTCAGAAACTTTAAAACTCTGAAGCTCAAAAAGCAAGAAAATATTGACCCAGAGCAATGCTGGGTATGCCACCCAATGAAATAGAATGGATGGATACTATTCCCAATATTCTTGGCTGGAGAAAAATAAAGAGGGAGGAATAGTTAGCAAAATTTGGAGGTGGTAAGGTTTCACAAAGGCCTTGAAAACCTTCAAGGCATAATACTTATCAAATCATATAAAGTTCCTAGTCCCTACTTAGCTACTTTGAGTTCAAAAGGTCTTTTAAAATTTAGCCTCCTTTAATCTTCACCGCTATGCAGTAAATTACACTTCCTGTAAAGCAGGAGAGGGAACAGGTCTTCCTACTCCATCTATCAAAGCCAAGGAACTTGAGGCAACTTGCCAAGGTTCAACTGTGGCAGAGTCAGTTCAAATGCTTTCTATGTTCCAAAGTTTTCACCTTTATTTGTGGGCTTGTTTACAGTTCTGCTAGTTACTTTACTTCTAGAACAATTTCCTGTATTTGGTTTTCATATGTTTAAGTCCCTTTTAAGGGTGGAGCCTGCAGTTACTAAAAACTAACTGAATCCTAACACAACACACATAAAAAAATGAAAAACTAACACACACACTCATATTTCATTCATTTTAACATGAAAACTAACAAACTATACTGCATTAGTGACCTAGTAAGCTATTAAGTCTCCTTATCTATATAATGAGGGGTTGGACTCAATGACTTCTTAAGCTCATACCAGCCCTCCCTAGCAGGAAAGGGCTGATATGACTTGATGTGTTTTAAATTACTTTCCTGACATTAAACACAAAAAAATTTCCTGAATTTGCATAAAGAACCAAGATGAATCTTAAAGTCACATTCAGGTTAGAGGAATGGCAAAAGTTTCTTTGCTGATCATCACTTGTCACTGCTCCCTTTCCTCATTACTCAGAAATGAAAAGATGAATTTACTTGGAAAGATGTGCTAAAGCTTTTCTACCAGATGGGTCACCTGGTAACACAACAGGAGGCTTGTCATCTCTGCCAACAACTTGTAGTGATGCTTGGTAAGCAACTTAACCTCTTCACATCACTCTTTCCAAACCAGGACTAGCACACTACCTGTGCCATTCACATCAAAGAGCTGGTGTAAGGATTAAGGGAGATAAGGTTTATACACACTGCAAATGTATAGCCTCTCAATTAAGTCAGACAACTTCTTTTCAAATGGTTGTGGAATGTCACTCATGTGCAGACAACACATTACAGTACAGAATATGTCAGAAAATATCTGAAAAGGCTTACCATGCTCAATGGCAGGTTTGCTTCCTTCTCAACCTTGCTCAAATCAACCAGACTGCTTTCTATCTGGTTGAATCTTTGGGTAAGATGACTATCTCATTTATCCCCTCTAGTTTAAGGTCATTTTGCCTCTGGTATCCCTTTATGGCAGAATGGGTCTCATCTAAAAAGTTGTCAAAATACAGGATATCCTAGAGTAGAAATAAGTTGTGGAATCCAAATAAAGATATTATACTAGGCAAGCAGGCCAGTAGCACTTAACAGTCAATATTATGTCAAGTTACTAAAATAAAATCCTTTTCTTGGTGATGATCAATTGCTCTGTCTCTGCTTTGCCCTTCCCATTCTAAACTGTTCCCAATCTATTCCCTCTGGAATGGCTTGACCTCAGCCAAACAGGAAGAGGAAAGACTTCCTCCTACACGACTCACTTTTTAGTCTCAGAAAGCTGAGAGCTTGAGAATTGATTTGCCAATGTTTATCTCACCTGCTGGTGGGGAAAGCTCACATGGTTATTAACTGAAAAGGCCATTAACCTAACTTGTCAGGACAAAACTACCTTAAGACAATACCAATTACGGAATTGGTTCATGTTACAAAACCATAACGAGTAGTGCATTATTTAGTACCAGGTTCAATTATTTTTATTGACATTTTCTAGTACTGACTACTACTAAAAAGGAATTATGGCTATAGGTTTTAAAGGACATTAAACTAGGAATTTTCTTAATGACGATTTCCTTTATTCTCTTTAGTTAATGTGATCCTAAAACTGCTAACTTTTTGCCTGGCATCTTCCTGGTTTTTAGAGACATGGTTTATAACATTCTTAGCATTATGCATGGCTCAAAATAGCCATCATTTTGAACTGACTTGTTACCTATTTATGTTTAATTATTCCAGATTGCTAGTTTCAGGATAATCTGGTTATTCTATGTCTTTCAAGATGTGAAAAGGAATTTACTCTATTAATTAACATGCAAATAAAGGGGGAAAAGAAAGAGGTCGGTACCAAAGAGACATGACAGCAGTTTGAATCTCTAAAATAATGAAACCTATCCCTTTTCGGTTAGATCTCAGATAAGCAAATATATGCAATGCCTGCTTAGCCATCATAACAATGAGCCCAAATTACCCAGCCTACCTCCATAGCACATGCGGAGTTGAGTCAGACACAAAAAGTACCTGTTTCAAACTGTCACTGTAGTTTTTATTGTCCAGTTCCAATGTAACTGAAGGTGATGGAGTGATGTGGTTGCTTTCACTGGTTTCCTTCAAGAGGTGCTGATTCTGAAATAGACATGAATTAGCATTGCTATCAATCATCAGGTCTATTTAACCATCTGGAATTGTCCTGGAACATTCTGGCCATCCCCAGGAGCCTTCCACAGATCAATCAACATGTATATCTAAGTAACCTACAGAGTGATCAATCTGATACTAGTCCAAGTAGACATATACCTTCTAGGATGCCCAGCCTGAAGCTTAATGGACTCCAGGCTCACAAAACTGAGACCCTCCTCAGTTTTTTCCCTGTCTCATAGGCTCTCAAGAACTCCTAGAAACCAATTTTCCTCTCTCATCATTTCTACTCAAAGAAAAACTATAGAATCACGACAGTTTTTCAAGGATCACTGAGTCTGGAAATGTAAACATTTCCTCAGGATTAAAAGAGTTTGGACATTAATACAGCAATCAGTCATGAAACCACTGGCTTTGGGCAGTGAACACAACAATCAACTGTGCACATCATTAGTTTTTCCCTCATTATTGTTATTATGTACCACTGAATAGCACATGCCTATACATATATTTGAGGGTGACCCTTCTTTCTCATTCTCTCCCCAAAGTTCCAGTCTCTTTTTACAGAGACTAAAGCAAAATTGTTATGTGCCATTGAGTCGCTTGCGACTCATAGCGACCGTATGTACAACAGCCCTAAACTCTGCTCTGTCCTGTGCCAATCGCACTGTCTCTGATACACCCATGTCGATTACCCCAGTCACTGAATCAAGCCACCTCATAGAGGGCCTTCCCCTCCTGCACTGTCCCTCCACCCTCCCAAGAACATGTCCCAAGTATGTAAGACGAAGCCTCAGAATCCTTGCCTCCAAGGAACCGCCCGGTTTAACCCTTTCCAGGATGAATCTGTTTGTTTTCCTAGCAGTCCATGGTACCCTCAATACTCTTCTCCAGCACCATAGCTCAAAGGCATCAATTCTTCTTCTATCTTACTTAGTCATTGTCCAACTCTCTGATGCATAAAGTAGAATATGCTTACATAAACCATCCCCCTTTGATGGGAAAACTTTGTATGGCCTAATCTTTTAGAAACTGCTATTATGGCCTATACAGTATAAAGTGTGTCAGTAGGGGTACTACTACTTGCAGCAGTAGAAATGTAAAAAAGATTTCATAATAATAGAATGCAATTGGTGGAAATAAATTATGTACTTGACATATGAAACCCTGCTTTAAAATGAAACAAAATGCAATAATACAGAGAAAAGGAACATAAGGGGGGGAGGGAACATAAGAGGGGGAGGGAACAATGGTTAAGAAAGTCGAGGCATCTTTTGTTAGGAAAAATCTTAGTAAATATTTAATTACTTGAGAAAATAGTCAGGTTATTAAAATAATAAAAGATCGATGTGAGAGAAGTCTTTATTATGTTCTAACTTCAGTCATGCCAAGGTCACACTCATCAGCAGTGTTAGGATTAGAATCTAGGTATCTAGACACCTAAGGCAAAATTTTTTCCTTTTCCAGTCTTTTAATAAGTAACAGAGAAGAGGACTGTTTGTTTGTTGCTGCCATTGAGTTGACAATAACTCAGAGCAACCTTATGAAACAGACTTAAACCTTGTCCTACCCTGCAACATCCTCATGAACTCTCATGTGGTCAAGCCCACTGAAGTAGTCACTGTGTCAATTCATCTCGTTCAAGGTTTTCCTCCTTTGCTGACTGACCCTCTACCTTTTCCATCATAATGGTTCCCCTCTCCAAAGTTTGGCCCCTCCTCACATGTCCAAAATATGTAAAGTGAAGCTTCACCATCCTTGACTCTAAGGAGCACCATGCTTGCACCTCCTCCAAGACAGATGTGCCTGTTCTTTTGGCAGTTCATGAGATATTCAATACTCTCTGCCACCACTACTATTCAAAGATGGGGGTTCTTCTTCAGTTTTCTTTAATCACTGTCCAACATTCAGATGTACAGGAAGCAATGGAAGATACCATGGCTTGGATCAGTCACACCTTAGTCTTTAAATTGCCATCTTCATTCTTCAGCACTGTAAGGAAGTCACTGACAACAGATTTTCAAAATGCAACATGTTTTTGATTTTGTGATTGCTGCCATCATGAGTGTTGATTGTGGACTCAAATAAAATAAGAGACAATTCCAATCTATTATCCCTCTATCATGATGTTGCCTACTGACCCAGCAGTGAGGAATTTTGTTGTCTTAATGTTGAGACATATCCATACTGAAGGCTACAGTCTTTGACGATCTTCTGCAAGTGCTTCAAGTCTGTTTCACTTTCAGCAAGCAAAGCTGTGTCATTTGCATAACGCAGACTGTTGAGTCTTTCCCCAATACTGATACCACATCCTTCTTTACAGAGTCCAGTTTCTTGAATTATTTGCTCAGTGTACAGAGTGAAGGTAGTTGTTGTGTGCCATCGAGTAAAAACCTACTCATAGCGGATCCTCCAGTGGGTTTTCAGATTCAGTAAACCACTGGGAGGAGACTGTCCATCCTTCACCCACAGAGCAACTGGTGGATGTGAACCATGTGCTTTTGGGATTGCAGCTTCTTTTCCACTAGGCCACCAGAGTGCTCAAAGACTGAGTAAGTATGGAGAAAAGATACAGCCCTGACATACACTTTTCCTGATTTTAAACCTGCAGTGCTCCCTTGTTCTGTTCAGATAACTGCTTCTTGGTCTAGGTCTAGGTTCTGTATGAACACAACTAAGTGTTTTGGGATTCTCATTTCTCAATGCTATCCATAATTTTTTTATAAACCACACACTTTTCCATAGTCTATAAAACACATCTTTTTGACATTCTCTGATTTCAGCCAAGATCCATCTGACACCAGCAATGATATCCCTCCCACCAGCACCTTTCCTGAATCAGCTTGAATTTCTGGTAGTTCTCTACTGATGCACTGTTCTAGTAATTCTGTAAATAAATTTCAACAATATTTTCATTTGCTTGTGATATTAATGAGATTATTCAAGAACTTCTACCCTCTATTGGACTGCCTGTTTTTGGAATGGGATAAACTATACATCTTGTCCAGTTGGTTGGCCAGTTACCTGTTTTTCAAATTTGTTGGCAAAGACTGATAAGCACATCCAGGGCAGCATCTATTTCCTGAAACATCTCAATTGGTATTCCAGTCAATTCCTGGGGCCTTCTTTTTTGCCAGTGCCTTCGGTTTGGCTTGAACTTCTTCCTTCAGTACTACTGATTCTTGATCATTTCCAACTTCCTGAAATGGTTCAATGTCAACAAATTATTTTTGGTATAGTGATCCTGTGCATTCCTTCCATCTTATTTTGATGCTTCCAGTATAAATCAAGACTCTGCTCAAAGAATCTTTCGATTTTCCAACTCAGCCTTGAATTTGTTTTTCAGTTCTTCCAGCTTGAGAAACACCAAGCAAGTTCTTTCCTTTCTGTTTTCTAATTTCAGTTCTTTGCACATTTCAACACTCTGCTTGGTATTTTCAAGATGCCCTTTGAAATCTTCTGTTCAGCTCTCTTTCTCCAGCATTTCTCCCTTCTGTTTTGGACTCTATCTACCAGTGAAAGTTTCAAAGTTTCTTCTGACACTCATTTTGACCTTTTCTTACCCATCTTTGCAATAACCTTTCTTTCTTCATGGCTGATGTCCCTGACAATCTTGTCTTCTGTCATTAGTGTTTAATGCATTAAATCTATTCTTGATATGGTTAAAATTCAGTTGGGACAGACTCAAGAATGCATTATTTGTTTACATAGATGTGTTTTAATTTTCTTCACTATCAAATTGAATGTGCATATGAGTAGTTGATGCTGTGTTATACCCATAGTCAGCTCCTGGCTTTGTTTTGATCCTGACATTGAGTTTTTCCATTGACTTTTCACAGATGTAGTTAATCTCTTTCCTTTTTGGTCTATCAGGTGAGATGCATGTGCACAATCACTGTTAATTCTTTTTAATACTTGCAATTAATAGTTCATTGTACATAATTCTATCATCTGATCTCCCACCTTATTTTTATCATCTAGTTCATATTTTCCATCTATCATTCCTTCTTCTTTCCAAATTTTGCATTGCAGCCACTAATTATTATTGCCTTTTGACTGCATGTTTGATCAATTTCAGACAGCAAAAATTGGTAGAAATCCTCATTTTCTTCATCTTTGACTTTGGTGGTTGGTGCATATATTTGAACCATTATTAACAAATTTTCATTGTACTCATATGTATAGTACCCTATCACTCAAAGGACTATACTTTAGGATAGACCTTGAAGTATTCTTTTTGCCTATAAAACCATTCTTAAATCTGTCATTCTTGACATAATAGATCATATGACTCATTGAGAGTGGCCCACATTAGTCCATCTCAACTCATTAATGCCTCGGATGTCAATCTTTAAAGTCTCCATTTCATTTCTGATAAATTCTAATTTTCCAAGAGTCATATTTGGAATATTCCAATCTTTAAAGTCTCCATTTCATTTCTGATAAATTCTAATTTTCCAAGAGTCATATTTGGAATATTCCAATTATTCTTTTAATTTTTTTAAAATTTTTCCCCCAATTATTCTTGATGTCTTAGTTGTATGTCCTCATTTGAATTCTGCCATCTCAGGAAATGAGTAAAGCTTCCACCCAGTAATATTGTTGCTGTTAGGGCCATCGAGTTGACTACAACTCAAAATAATGGATCTAAACTTTGCCCTAATCTCTGTTATCCTTAACCATCTTTGATATACGTGAGCCTACTGTTACACTCACAACGTCAATCTAACTTGTTAAGGGTCTTCTTCTCTTTTGCTAACCCTTCACTTTTCCAAACATGATATCCTTCTCCAAGGACTGGCCTCTCCTAACAACATACCCAAAATATGTGAGATGAAGCTTCAACATCCTTGCCTCTAAGGCATACCCTGGGTGCACTTTCTCTAAGATGTATTTGTTTGTCCTTTTAGCAGCCAATGGGATATTCAGTACTTTTCACCAACACTACAATTTAAAGGTTGTATTCTTCTCCTGTCGTCTTTATGCATTATTGTTGCTGACTGCCTTCGAGTCAAGCATGACTCATAGTGACCCTATGAACAAAAGGCCTGAAGCTTTTCTATAACAACTGATATTTATCAACGTTCAGAGAGTTTCCGGAGGCATGTTGTTTAGGAAATGGATCCAAACTTTATTTCAGATGCATAACAAATACTTAAAAATATGATGGCTTGAATCAGGTACCTCTTAAGTCTTTAAAGTCATTACTCCAAGTCAGTTCTGATTCACAATGTACCTTACGTACAATAGAACAAAACACTGCCAGATCTTATACCATCTTCTCAATCTCTGTGGTGCTTTGAATTCACTGTTTAGCCACTGTATCAGTTCATCACATTGATGATGATCTTTTTTCTTGACCCTTTATCAAGCAGAATGTTCTTCTCTAATGATTGGCCTCTCTTTATAATATGCTCAAAGTATTTACTGTCAAGTTCTGACGTTGCTGAAAGTAATAGAGAAATATGGTTACTTTTTATCATTCTCCTTCGAGAGGTACTGATTCTGAGACAGAAACGGATAAGCACAAGCACAATTATCAGGAGCATTCAGGTTGCACTTATTCTTAGGTATATTGTGTGTTCTTTTGGCAGCTGACACCACAATTCAATGGCATCAATTCTTATTCACTGACCAACTTTCACATACACACGAGGTGACTAAAAGCATTATGGCTTGGGTTATGGGGACGTTAGTCCTCAAAGTAACACCTTTGCTTTTAGCACTTTGAAAGAGGTCCTTTGTACAGATCTGCCCAAGTGTAGTATGTCATTTGATTTGATAACTGCTACTCCCATAGGTGCCGCTTGTAGGCTCAAGAAAAGTAAAATTCTTAACAATTACAATCTTTTTTCCACTTAGCATGATGTTTCATATAGTTCTAGTTGAGAGGGTTTCTGTTTTCTTTATGTTGAACTGCAGTGCATTCTTCATTTTCTCTAATACAGTACAAGTCTTCTCTGCACAAATTGTGTAACTCAAATTGGGAATTCCAAAGCATAAAAAGAATATGTAGGTAAGATCTAGAAATTGGTGGAGATGACAGGGTACTTCTGTGTGCCTTCCTTCAATGGTCTTGATTTCATAGACATATTAACTTAGTTCTCTAACCTCTCCACAAACCCTTCATTGAACTGAGTACTTATTAAAAGATTAATTAATGTCTCTGCAAATGAATCACAACATTCTGTTGAAGGGTAATTTAGTCAGTTGCTTCAAAGAGCACAGCCTGAAAAAGCAAAGACTGACTAAGACGTAAAGAAATGACCGAATGAATTTAAGAGTTGATGCTTTGACAGTGCTTACTAAAAATACTGTTGGAAAATTTCCAGTTTCTATGCGTTCACCAGCTCTCATGAGATCCTGGCACACTGTTGAAGTTAACGTTTTGATTGGGCACACAGCATGTTCAATGATGGTTACTCACCTCGTACACGAAATGGAGAAGAAATTTTTGGACACAGAGCAGATGACACCTCCTTCTGTTTTGTAGTGTATTCTGGTGTCATTTTCTGTGAATGTGGTCAGGTAGAGTTGTTTTTGTTGTTGGGTTTTCTGTTTGTTTGTTTTCTCCCCCCCTCCTTTTTCTCCCCCTTTGTCTCTTTTGGTGGGGTGGGGGTGGGCTAAAGCCATAGGAAGAAAAATGTGATGTATGTGTCCAGTATGTACTATTTTGTTTTTGTTTTGCAAGAAGAGTTGAACTATTTTTGATAACAAGAGTAAATGGTGGAAAATGCTTCTTAAAAAAAAAAAAAAGATTAATTAATGTCTCTGAATGATTACAGACAGCTTATATCTGCAGAAGCCTTATGAGACTGAGAGAGCTGAAAAACAATTACTGGGTACTGTAGAGGTTTGACAAAACTTTGTGGGTTATGCACACTCATGTTTATTGCTGCATTACTCAAAATAGTGAAGTGATGAAAGCAGCCCAAATGCTTGTCAAAAATGAATGGATAATAACCCTGTAGTATATTCACACAATGGACTATTATGCAGCACTGAAAAACAATGAACTTGTAAATTATTACACATGGGGAGAGTCTGTAAGACATGACGATGAGTGAAATACTTTAGTCAAAAAAGGACAAATACAGCATAAGAATAGGATTGACATGGGGGTTGGGGGAGGACAGGAAGTGAGATCTTAGATAATGAACATGTACTGGAACAGGTGAAGGAAAGGACTATCTGAAAGGAATATATGATTAAGCATTTTATTTATATATATATAAATTAATTAACAATTTGGAACAAGAAGAGTATTACAAAGGGAACTGGGGGAGGAGTCTGGGAGATGGGGCAAGGAAAATGTGCACCAAGGAATGAATGAAAACCCAACCATTTTGTAAACTTTCCTTAAGATCACAATTAAAAACAAACCACACAAAAACCCTCACACAGAAAATCCCCAAAACTTTGTGGTTTAAAACAACAATTTGCTGTTTCTCAAAATACTGTAGGTTGACTGGACTTAGCTAGACTGCTATTTTGCTCCACATGGTAGAAGCTGAGATCACATATTTATCTAAGGGCTTGGCTGACCTAGAACATTCAAAATGGGCCATCATCCTCGTGGGCTCCTCTTCACATGGCCTCTCATCATCTGATCGGCTAAAAACCCTGCCCAAGTTCTTGACCCACAGATTGAAATAATAACTTGTTTTAAGTCACTGAATTTTGGGGTGACTTTGTTATGTTACAAAAAACCTTGCCTCTCTTCTCCCCTTCCAGTTTCCTTCCTACTACTTCCTCTTGGGAACTGTGTCTTAATATATCTCCTCCAGTGTCGTGTTTGCTGAAAATTCAGCTTTTAATTAAAGCTACCTTAACTGTTAAATTAACAGATTGTAGGAAAATATAGTGAAAAGAATTTCTTATCTTTTTAAAATGTTCATAACAGGGTCTACTGACATAAGTGGAAAAATGGCATCACTACTACTATACAGTTTAGGGTGACAAGGAGTATGTGAAGATTTTCTGTAGTATTTGTAGATATACTTACCAAACCACTCTGCAGTCTTTCTATAGTTTTCTTGTGTTCATCTACAGTTTTCTGTAATGCTTCCACAGTAAGATGAACACTGTTTAAAGTGTTGCCAATGGAAGCTACACTCTGAACAGAAATAGGGACAAAGGTCAGAATTTTTTTTTTAAATTTTTAAAAATTTGTTAATAGATTCATTGAGATTTAAATGATATTTAAGAAATTTCATATAATGAAAACCTATAACTTGGTAACCGTAGCATATTTACACTCCTGTGAAATCACTATACAATCAACAAATAAAAATCTCAACTCAACAACTCAACTTGTTGCCACTGATTTGGAACCAACTCATAGCTGACCCTCCAGTGGGTTTTCAGAGGCTGTAAATCACACAAGAGATTGTCCATCTTTTTCCCAAGGAACAGCCACTGGGTTTAAACTGCCTGCCTTTGGGTTAGCAGTGCAACTCCTTAACACAGTAAGCCACCAGAGATCCTTAGTAAACGTCTATCACTCCTAAAAGTTTCCTCATGCTCTTTCCCATTTCTAGGCAATAAGTAATCTACTATCATTATATAGCATTTTGTATTATGGAAAATTTTGTATAAACATAACTTAAAACTCAAACTCATTGCTACTGAGTGGAAAATAACTCATAGCTGACACTCCAGTGGGTTTTAAGAGGCTGTAAATCAAACAGGAGGCACCTGTTCACCTTTTTCTCCATGAGCCACTGGTGGACTTGAACTGTCAGAAAAGCTCCAGCTTGATTATTTGCATCCCAACTGTCTCTTCACTAGGCCATTAGAATGTACTTTTCTATGCAGGTGACTGATGGTAAAGAGCTATGCTGCTAACCCAGAGGCATGCAGTTCTAAATTTATCAGTTGTTCCACAGAGAAAGATGGGCAATTGCTTCTGAAAATTTGCTGGAGGATCAGCTATGAGTTGATTCTGACTTGATCACACAACAATTATTCTAAGATTCATTCATGTTAATTAGCAAGTTGCTGATTAGCATTCCAGTGAATATCAGAGTTGATGGACAACCTTAATAGGCTGATTTCAGTATCTGAGTAGTATAAACAGAGCTGCTAAGAACATTCATGTGCACGTCTTTATGTGAACATATTCTTTCACTTCTCTTCATCCCATGCCTTCTCATCATGACAATGTTAATTTTTTAGAAACCTGCCAAACTGTGTTCCAGAATGGTTGTATCATTTTACGTTCCAATCAGCAGTGTATGAGACATAGTTCCAGCTGTTCTATACCCTCATCAATAGTAACATGACAGTTTTTAAAATTTTAGTCATTCTAGTAAGACTGTAGTGGTATATCACTGTGGTTTTGATTTATAGTAAACATTGACCTAATGAGGCCAAGTTTTTAAATTATTTTAAATGCTTTCCAACTATGAATTACAGGTAGCTTATACTGCCAATCTATCTACTGATCTAGATATATGACAAGCAAATTTTACAATTTAAAGGACTTTTTCTAGAGGAAAGAAATACCTCTTTTCCTAAAGAAGACATGAATTTCTATAGCTTGGACCCACAGAAGGTTCTCCCATAGAATATTTTCCCACAGAATGCCTTTATCTATTAAGACATCCAGAACTAACATTGAGGATTGTTGTTGTATCAGGAGCAAAAGATTATTTTTGAGCAAAAATGGGTGTAGTAGGAACCATTTTTTTTTTTTGCACTGGGGAACCTAGCATTGGAAAGAGAAAGTTAATAAAAAAAAATCTGTCAGTGTTTGTTCTTTTTGGAAACTACAGAGTTAGAAATGGCCAATATTTGCTTACATTAGGCTTAAGGTGCCCAAGTGGTTTGGGAACTTGGAGATATGATTCAGAGTTTGTCTTTTTAAAAAGACTTGTACTCAGGGAATATCCAAAAGAATGCTACTCTTTAGTGGGTTTTAGCATTTCAGTTGTACAATTTTATAGTGTCACATTGATATTTCTAAGGAAGGTCATTTTTACTATACTAACATCTAAGAATCCAGAAGAACAAATGATGACATTTTTAAAAATGGGGAAAAAATTGAGTGAGATACCAGAAACCAGGTGTTTGGGATGGTCTACTACCTCAAAACTGAGTCATTTGTAATAAAAGCAGTGCCTGGCCTTAGAAATAGAGAGATTTGCAAAGAGATAGCACACTGTGTAAAAATCTCTAAGCTGGGATGCTATCTATGTAAGTACTGTTGTTACAAAAGCCAGAGGCATTCAAAGACACCTACTGTTAAGAGAATCCTCATGAGTTGGATGCATGAACCCAGCAGGGTGCAAAAAGATAGTAAGCTACTGTTGAAGGGTTGTTTTTTTAAAAAAAGAAGCAGCTGACAAAGCCATGTGAACTCTGGAATGAAACTCCGAAACTAGTACTCCCATTAACCACAAGTATGCTTGGCACATGCTAGAAAAAGCCCCACAGGTATTTACTAAATTAATGAATGCAAGAATAAACAAATTTCTTTTTAATGCAACTCTGTGTCTGCACTAAAAGCTACCATTTTCCCACTTGGCCTCTGGGAACAATGGCAAGAACAAATCAGTCTCATTAAAGGTGTTTCTACTTTTTTGTGTGTGTGTGTGTGACCTTACGTAAGTTCAACATCAGTTTTCAAATTAGTATACACACATTTACACATGAAATACCTGGCTCAATGCCAGGCTCGTAACAGAGACTAAGGTGCTAGCTCTCTGGCATAATGGTTACAGCAAGGGGACATCCTAATTCTTTAGAAGGCACCAGGCTTGGGCCTTCAAAGGGTTTTGAGATTACTCTGACCAATTCAGGGAGTTCTGGTCGCCAGGTAGGTAGAGCTGCACTGTCTACCCAAAGGCACTGGTTCAAATTCACCAGCTACTCTTTAAGAGAATAATGGGCCATTTCCTTTCCTGCAATTTACTACCTTTGCAAATCCCTGGAGGATCAGCCATAGGTCAGTTCTGACTCAATGGCACACAACATTACCAATTCAGATTCTAGGAAAATGAGAGCCCTGTGTTACTGTTGTTATGTGGTGGAGTCAGAACTCCCCCACAGCTGACCCTCCATCACATGGGAGGTCACCCACTTGGCCATCAAGTGCCCTGGAAAACTATTGATATATTAACAATTTCAGAGATGCCAACTGGATAAGGATGAGGGATCTCACAAAGTCACTGTCCCTAGCAGTGGCCACTGAAAATAATCAGACAACTTAGTGTCCCAGGCAAAAGCTTTAGCACCACCTTCCCAATGTTGTGCGCTCTTGAGTCAGAACTGACCCAGAGCTGACCCTTCCCAATGAGTTTCATCTGTCTGTCCATGGACTTCTCTGAAACAAAAGAGGAAGGAATAACTAGCAGGGTGAGTCCAGAGTCTGCCGCAGAAATGCGTGGGGAGCCCCACTTGTCAGGGTGCATGCACCTGGGCAAGGGCAACATCCTGGGCTTCTCAGGGTGCAGTCTGCCGGGCAATGCAGCTTTGTTAGCGAAGAGGTGCCACCAGCCCTGGGTGATCGGGTTGTCTGTGGGGAAAGGCTTGTGGATGCAGATCCCGTTGAGGCCCGACTGGTCTGCCAGCTTCTGCACCAGCGTCACATCTCTTCAGCTGACTTACAGTGGATGCTCTTCTCACGCACAGCCCCATTAAGGTATTCTGCCACCACTCTAGGAACGTTGCACCGCTTCATGTACATGTAGATGATGATCCCTGCGCTCCACTGGGCGAAGTCGGTAACTTCCCGTTCTATGAACTCCCCTGGCGCCATGGGATGAGGGCACATTGTGACTAAGGCTAAAGCTGAGACACTGAAGTTTCTGCACGCAGCAACCCAGGCCGTTGTGGAGGGCACTGGTCAGGAAGCAGCTAGAAGTGCCAGGCGCGGTCATGGCTACAGCTCGGTTGCCACACAGCAGGGTGACATGGGGGTGTGTGTGTTTCTATTTTTTTTAAACTTTCTAAGCAGATGACCAAAACTAGCAAACAAACTATGGAAACTGAGCACAGATAGTTGGTGTGGCTATCAAAGAGCAAATTTTGTTTTTGCTTTCCTTGTACTCTTGATTTCTTTGTAGTATACAATTCTAAGCTTATACTGCTTAGAATAAAATAAAGCATCACATGCTGACTTTTAAGTCAAATGTTCCTAATTTGATACTTCCACGCTTGAGATTCTCTTGCTCCCAAGTGCTTTCTTCCAATTACTGCCGAAGATCCTCCTGTTCCCATTAGGTACCTCCTCCTTCCATTCTAAGGGAGATCTGATGGCCTTGAGGATAATGAGTTGTACTTACAACCCAAAGGCAAGTAGTTCGAAACCACCAGTTGCTCTGAGGGAAAAAGACGGGCAATTTCCTCTTGTATAATTTATTGTCTCTGGAAACTGGAGAGTCAGCTGTAAATTGACAGCAAGGAGTTTCAGTTTTGTTTTTCTTCCTTTCTAGTGAGCCTTAGTGGTTAAAGGGCTAAACCAGTGATCAAAAAGTGTTAAACTGGTGACCAGAAAGTAGTCCCAACTCCACCAGCTGCTACATGGCAGAAAGATCTAATAGTCAGCTTCTGTAAAGGTTGTTATTGTTGCCATTAAGTGCCAACGAGTGGACTATGACTTAGCAATCCTCTGAACAACAGCTCTAAACCTTGCCTCTTCCTGTGCCATCCTCACTGTATCTGATATGCTCGAGCCCACTGTTACAGTCACTGTGTCAATCCATCTTGTTGAAGGTCTTCCCCTCTTTCTGTGACCCTCTACTCTTCCCAGCATGATTGATGTCTTTTTCCAAGGACTGGCCCTTCCTAACAACATGGCCAAAGTATGTGAGATGAAGTTTTACCTTCCTTTCCTCTCAAGAGCATACCTGTTACACTTCTTCCAGTACTGAAAACACTGTGGGGCAGTTCTGTTCTGACCTATAGGGTCATTATGAGTTAGATTCTACTCAGTAGCAGTGGGTTGTTTTGCTTTGGTTCTCCTTTTCTACTCCTATCCATTCTCCCAACTAGTTTTAAGGAGTAGTGCTCCTCTAGTTTGGTCCCTGCCTCTTGTCCTAGCCTTGAATCTGAGAGATTAAATAAACAGAAATTCTGAACTATTGTTTGCTAGGTCCTAGCAACTAGGGTATATAAGTAGGTGCAAATTTGAGGATATACATGTCTAAGGTCACAAAATTATTTTCCAAGTAATTTTAACAATTTACACTGCTGCCGGAAATGTTTCAAAGTTTCTTATCATTTCCTGAATTTTTAATTTTTCACATTTCCCCAGATAATTATTTTTTTCTAGGAAGGAAATTATGAAAAATAACAGTTTAAGAAGAAACCTAAAGTTCAATTAGTCTGTTTTCTGGGAAACATTATGAATGATGACTTGAAAAGAACTTGATGAAAAGCAAACATACCACATGTTAACATAAGACTCAAAATAGTATAATTCAGGTACTCACAAAATCAATAAAAAGGTGTAGACCTATATTACCTGTTGCTAAAATAATCTGTTGGGAATTAAAGTCCCAACTAACAAGTCCTGAACAAAGCTATTCTGTAATCTTTAGAAATACTAATAAATTCTACGTATTACTGCTTCTTTCAACAACTGATTTCAAATGTCAAGCTTTCAAAGGAAAATTTTAAGATACAGCAGTAAGTTAATCTCAACGCGTACTTACCTTCTGAAGTCCCTCTACAGTGGCAGGCAGGCTAATTAAGTCAGAAGCTGACTTCACATTGGCTTTGAGGTGGTTTATCGCAGATGTCAATAGAGTAATCTGAAAGGAAAAGAGTTACAAACAGTGGAACTAGAATTTGTACAGTGCATACTTCCTTCACAAACTCTATAGTTGATGATATCAAGGAACCTTGGGTTTTATGGCTTTCTGTGAACCAGATGTTATATCCTGTCAGCTCAGAAGAGAGGAACTATATGGCACTTTGGACAGACCTGAGATCTGGAAGGCAACAATAATACTCTTTCTTTCCTTGCTCAATTTAAACACTGGTACCAGAGAGAGAAGGGTAAGTATTATTCTTTTCCCTAGCCCTGGCAGCAAAAAGATCCAAAAATCTTAAATTACCCAAAAGATGCAGTGATTACAATGCAATCCTTCAACCACTGGACAGGAAGGAAGCTAATGATCAAAACCACTAAAAGATTTCATTTTGGTAACAAATAACACCTCAGTTATTTACTGAACTTTTGTTCCTGCCCAAGTGGGAACATATGTTATAAAGTAAAAGCCCATCATCACAAAATACAGTCTACAAGAGCTGTATCTTGACAACCTGAACAGTACTTTGAACTACTTGGGGATTTAGTTTTGGTTTAACAATGTGATTAATATTTCAAACTCAATAGCTCAACCAAAGCACTATTTTGTACCCTGAAGGGTCTCAATAAATACCATTGACTCACTGACTGATGCAATAAATGTATTAAAATAGGAACTGAATCAAAATAAAATGTGGTTTCTCTTCTGCTATTTAGGGGTAGAATTATAAATAGCTAGACTTGTAGTACTGAAAAATGGGGGAATATGTAGACTGTATATGCTTAGCATGTGGATGGAGAAACTAGATATAGCTGAAAAATAAAACAGAAAAATCCTTAAAAAACCCTCCCTCTTCTATACTTCAAAATACATGAAATGCATGATAATACAATATAGCAATGTGACTGAACAGAAATAATATAGTTCTCCTGGTTCTTTCATTTCTAATTTCCCTTGAATGAAGACTAGAAGGAACTTGTGTAATATCCAATTCCAAGCTGCAGAGGTCATCTTCTAACAAGGCTGGAAACACAACTATAAGTATTCTTGAAAAATTCTTAGTTATCATACACTGTCCTGTCCCAAATACTAGGATGAAGACACAGAATCTACCCACAGCATGGATATGTTTTGTTTTAATTACCATATATATTTTGAGTGGCTTCATAGACCTGAGTAACCACCAAAGTTTGACACTTGCTACAAAGCAAGCACTGTGGTCAGTGCCAAACACAAGAACAAACAAAACCAAAACCAAACAATAAAATATAACTGAATTAGCTTTGACTAAACAAACCTTCATTTGAACTGTTTTTGAGGCTGTAAATCTTTATAGGGGGAGCCTGCTTACTGAGTGTTTGGTGGGGAGGCTAGAGCATTCAAACCCGACCTTTTGGATAGCAACCCAATGTATTATGCACTATGGTGTAAGGACATAAAGTAGAACCTAAGGCTCTCTTTGGGGAAGAATCAATCTCTTCCAGTTAGCTGGTCAGGTGGCTGTCCTCCACATTTCTTGGCACAACTTTGTGAGCACATGCAGGGCAGCATCTGTTTGTAGAAATATGTCAGTTGGTATGATGTCAACTCCTGGAGCCTTGTTATTTTGCCAATTCTTTCAGAGCAACTTGAATTTCTTCCTTCATCACCACAGGCTCTTGCTCATACATATGTTGGTTCATGAAATTCTTCTGTGTCAGCCAATTTCTTCTGGTACAGTAACTCTGTACACTCCTTTCATCTTCTTTTAATGCTTCTTGGATCATTTAACAATCTGCCAAAAACATCCTTAAGTTATTGCTACTTGTGGCTTGAATTTGTTTTTCAATTCCTTCAGCTTAAGAAATACTGAGTTCAGCTCTTTAGATTTTCTGACTCCAGCTCTTTGCACATTTCATTATAATACCTTGCTTTGTCATCCTGAGCTGCCCTTTGAAATTTTCTGTTCAGCTCTTTAATGTCTTTTTTCCCTTTAGCTTTGGCTTCTAGGCATTCAAATATTCAGAATCTCATCTGACATCCAGGTTGGTCTTTTCTTCCTCTTCTGCCTTTGTTATGATCTTCTGCATTCTTCATGGACGATATTCTTGATATCCTCCACAGCCCATCTGGTCTTCGCTCATTGATGTTCAAGGCCTCAAACCTGTTCCTGAGGTCTTCTGAAATTCTAGTGGGATAGACTTAAGGTCAAATTTTGGTTCCTGTGAATTATATTTTCTCCACCTTCAGCCTAAACTTGCATATGAATAGTCTGGAGGAGGCTGATACTAGGGATATTATAGCTAATATTAGAGGGATCTTGGCAGAAAGCAGAGTACCAGATGAATGCCTATCTATGTGTCATTGACTATGCAAAGGCTTTTGACTGTGTGGATCAAAACAGACTATGGCTGACTCTGAGAAGAATGGGAATCCCAGAACATGTGATTGTGCTTATGTGAAACCTATACTTGAAACAAGAGGCAGTTGTCAGAACAGAGCAAGGAGACACTGCATGGTTCAAAATCAGAAAGAGTGTCCACCAGGGATGTATTCTGGCTCCACACCTTTTCAATCTGTATCTGTACTCTTGGGCTGTATGAGGAGGAATGTGTCATCAGAGGGAATTTCTCAACAACCTGCATTATGCGGATGACACAACCCTGCCTGCTGAAACCGAGGAGGACCTGAAGCGCTTGCTGCAGAAGGTCAAGGACTACAGCTTTCAATATGGATTGAAGTTCAACATCAAGAAAACAAAGATTTTTACCACTGGGCCAATTGGCAGCATCAATAAGGATGAAGAAACTGAGTCTATTGACAGCTTTAGTTTGCCTTGCTCCACAATCCACACTCTTGGTATGAGCAGCCAGGAAACCAAGAAACGAATTGCATTGAGAAAGTCAGCTCAGCTGTCAGGGACCTCTCCAGAGGGCTGAAGAGCAACAATGTGAGGCTAGAGACTAAGGTGTGCCTGATCCAGGCCATTGTCTTCACAATTATGTGCTATGTGTCAGAGAGCTGGACAATAACTAGGAATGATAGAAGGAGAACTGATGCCTTTGAGTTGTGGTGCTGGAGAAGAGTGTTGAATATACCGTGGACTGCTAGAAAAAAAAACAGTTTTGTCCTGGAGAGGGTGTAACGGGCTGCTCCTTGGAGGCAAGGATATTGAAGCTTCGTCTAACGTACTTTGTGCATGTTGCAAGGAGGGACCAGTCCTTAGAGAGGACATCATGTTTGGGAGGGTGGAGAGCCAGTGCAAAAGAGGAAGACCCTTGATGAGATGGATTGATTCAGTGTACATGATGTTATGAGGGGGCTATTCCTTGGATAAACACATAACACTAGGAAAGGTAGAAAGAAGTTCAGTGAAAGAGAGGATAACCCTCAACTAGGTGGATTGACACAGTAACCAACAACGAACTAAAACATATTGGAGATTGTGGGGATGGTGCAGGACAGAGCAAGGCTTTGATCTGTTGTTCACTGGGTCACTGTTAGTCCTAGTTGATTCTGTGGCACATAACAACAACAATGTGCTTAATAAGCCCTAACTTGTCAATGGTGATATTTATATGTTATTATGGAAGACAACTTTCTAGAAGAAAAATATTACATAGTAAGAAGTATTAGGAAGAAAATGAAAATAAGCTAACTTGATAAGAGTTACTGAGTAGCAATTTTGGATCAGTTAGTTTGAAGAAGTCTAAAAGGAAATGACATTTAAACTGAGATCTAATTGATAAGGAATTAACTGTATAAAGTCTAACTGAAGTACATTTTAGTGCAGAAGAAAATGCCAGAGCAAAAACCTCAATGCAGGAAAGAATTTGGCATATTTGAAAAACAGAAAGTCAGTGTGATACACAGAGACCAGGAGGAGAGGAAGGGGAAACTACAAACAAACAAACAAAAAAAAAAAAAAGGAAGAGAGCAAGCCAGTGAAGAGGGTGTTGTTGTTCTGTGCCATCAAGTCACCTGGGATTAGTGACCCTATGTACAACAGCTCTGAACCCTGCTCTATCCTGTGCTAACCTTACTGTCTCTAACACTTCTACCTCCATTCCCCTAGTCACTGGATCAGTCCATCTCATTGAGGGTCTTCCTCTCTTGCGCTGTCTTTCCACCCTCCCAAGTATGATTACCCTCTCCAAGGACAGGCCCTTTTTTTGCAACATGCCCAAAGTACGTCAGATGGACATTCAGAATCCTGGCCTCTAAAGGGCAGCCCGGTTTCACCCTCTTCAGGATGAAATCTGTTTGTTCTCCTAACAGTCCAAGGTATATACAATATAGTCTCCTCCAGTACCACAGCTCAAAGACATAATTTCTCCTTTCATCCCTAGTCATTGTCCAGTTTTCAGATGCACAGCACGTAGAAGATCATGGCCTGAATCAGGCGCACCTTAGTCTCCCAATGGATATAGTTGTTCTTTAGTACTCTGGAAAGGTCCCTTATAGCAGACTTTCCCAATGCAATTTGTCTTTTAATTTCCTGGTTGTTGGTGCCAAGAGTCTTGATTGTTGCCAAGCAAACTGAAGCTGTTAACAATCTCAATCTCTTCACCATTTATCATGATGCTGCCAATCAGCCCAGTGGTGATAATATGGCTAGAGATATATTTGAAGACTACTACCATGGACAGTCTATGGAAGCACGGAGGTCAATGAGAAGGTTACTTTTCAGGAAAGAGATTGTGATGGTTTAGACATGGTGATAGAAAATGTAGGTTTAAAATAGAGATAATATGATTTTTCTGAGGAAGTGGATGCAAGAGGTGAAGGACAGACAGAAATTAAGGAAACTCCGAGATATCTAACTTTAAGGAGTTTTCAATCAAGTTCAAAGAACTAAACTGGAAAAAAAAATATTGAATAGGATATGGAATAAAGTAGGGGGGGGAAGGATACAAGTACAAGCTAAGACAGACAGACTAAATTTAGGTAGGATTCAAATGAGATTCTAGGGTAGAAGGGTGAAATAAAAAAGTGGGTGAGAAATCTCAGCCCAAAGGTAT